ATATATAAGATTGGAATGCGTCGTCTTCGAGACATTAAGTGATTTCTCATCAGGGGGAGTTAACACGCGTTGTACTCTTTTTCTCTTACAAGGTTTTGTCCCATTGAGTTTTCCCTGCAAGGTTTTTAACGAGGCAACCAAAAGGCGTATTTCTAAATATGTGTACTTTTTCCTAATAAGGTTTTAACGAGACACATTATTTATGGACATCCAAGAGGGAATGTTATGATAAAAATCAAAATATGGTGGATGTCTACTCTTCCTCCATGATCTTTCTCTCAAATGGTTAATGACATATTCAATGACATATTTTCTATGTTCAATGACATATTCCATGACATATTTTCTTCACTTTTCATGCCTATATAAAGGCCTTGTAATAGATAGGAAAATACACCAAAGTGAAAGAAGAAAACACTTCTCCATTCTCTCTATCTCTCCTTGTTTACATTTTACTGCATTGCTTTTATTTTATAACAAAAACAATGGAAACAAAGATCTTAGTATACATAAAAATATGTGTTATAAAATAGTCTAAAGAAAAAATTGATCGTTATATTTTTATTCTTTTTTATCTTTTGTCTCAAAAGGATATCCGTCAAAGAATTCAAACAAAAATTATATATTGCTTAAAAATGTCATTAGTGCGACGTTATTGAATAATATCTTCGTTATTTGGATTAAAATTATCCACCATTTTGTTCCGTCCGCTTTATTATAAGTTGTAACCTCCATAGCTCGCGGCGTCCCTATCCCCTATTCCCCTCCCCAATATTTAAAAAATGAGGTCGAAATATTTAATATCATAGATGACCCAATATGTCAATTTCATAGTTGTAAAAAATTTAGCACAAGGTCATTAAGTAACATGAGAAAAAAGTTCATAGTTATGGCGTATTTGCACACTCGAGATGATATAATGATATACATGGACCATGGTCTAGCCATGTAGTATTATGTAGATTTAAACATTTCCATTTATGGTCTTACAAACTTTTTAGAACTAGTGGTGGCTGGCTGGCTATAGATACCATATTACAGTTGTATCAACTTAAAATAAGAAGTTCCAACCTAAGGCCTAAAACACTATAAATAGACAATTCATTCCACGTGGGGCAACTTTCACTTATTTTTATTTATTTATTTACAAATGAATTACGTAAGTGTACGAAATTATTACTACTTTTTTTGGATTTGAAAGCTGATAGTCCTTACCTTATCACCACGTAACTTAAAGTCAGACCATCAAGATACTAAGATCATACCAACAATATATAAAATTATAATATGTAGCATGCCATATGAGATCAGCTGGTCGATCTTACGAATTAAATGGGAGTTGATTTCACCTTATACGACTTAGCTTAGGCCTTAGAGTATTTAAATACCATAAAGAACGTGCCACTTATTATATTTCTTATATTTTATATACACGGGTTTATCCTTACAAAAACAAAAAGAACATAAAAATAAAAACAAAGGAAAAGAGAAAAATCTAATTCGACATAATGTATAAATAAAAATTATCGAATCGCCTTGATATAAGGACTTTGTTTTTAGTATAGTTATAAAGGTGATTTAAAAATTACGTCTGTTTATATGTTCAAATTTCAAGTGTGATATTTTAGCATTATTTCTTAACTCTTTGTTAGAATTCTTTAACTTTATCACTACCTTAGTGGTATTGATAAAAGTTTCAGTATATGTGAGTTCGATATATTCTATTTTCATTTATCCTTCTCCTACTTTTATAGTCTTATATCTCTGAATTTAATAAAAACTAAAAAAAAATTGTCTACCCAAAAAGAAAAAAAGAAAGCGATTGCAAGAAGTTCCGTGGCGGAGAAATTTCGGTCTGTATGGTGGCTACATACAATGGAGCCGACTCACTCAATCGGATATGTAAAATCTTTTGCTATTTTTAATTTGTTATTATAGAAGGGGGAAAAAAACCAAAATTGTTGGGTGACAATCATTTACATCCTGTAATGTTGCTTTAAAAAATCAAACTCTCCCTCTAACAATAAATAATTGACATTCTTCCCTCATTTTTCAAATGAATTTTTAAATACTCGTTTTACCCCTTTATATTACCAGTCGTACTAGAGATTCTTTCCCGAATTATTTCATATATTAATGCCACCTGGGATGATTTTAATGGATCAAGGGTTTTGAAAAAGTCAAGATTATCTAATTTCATTAAAACTTTATTTTTGTAGTTGCTACTAATAGTTTTACTAATTTCAATTTGATATTAGAATTATTTAAGAAGTAAAAAACAAGTACTTATTTGGGTAGACTTATAAGTTGATTAAACTAGTTTATACTTACTTTTTAATGTATCTATGCGTTTAATAAATATTAGTCTCTACGTTCGTGCGATGCACGAATATCTTATGTCAAATATTATGAAACACATACAAAAAAAATAAACTTTCAATTACATAATATTCTAAAATTAATAACAACTGAATATGTACGAAATTCAATATGTACAAAGTTTAATAATATGTTTCCTTCGAACAAATTAATAATGTTTTGGCACAATGAAAGGACAAAATAGAACTAAATATTATGGAATTATACAATTAAAGTTGTAAAATTACTTAAAGAATACAAAATACTTAATATTTTTTTTTCCGATTCAATAAATATTTTTTGATTTAATTAAACCTTAATGATTCAGATACACAAAAATTATATTTACTCAATTAGTAATAAAGAAACTAAAAATAGAAAGGTCATTTAGTCATTCATACATTGTGTTGGCATTTTTTTTCTTGTGGTGCACGTTATTTTATGTCAATTACTATAAAAGTCATATTTAATAAAATATAAATTCTTAACTATACGAATATTCAAAAGAAAATTATATGTTACTGCTAGAAAATAATTTAACTCCAATCCTAATCAATACAATCTCTAAATTCAATTCCAATTCTGATTAATCCAATCTCTAGTTAAAAAGCACATGAATCTATATTTTGTAAGTTCTAACTAAATATATAAAAGGTATCGAAGAACCTTCCAAATATCCTATCGTGAAAAGAAAAAATACCTCTTCAAGAAGGAATCATGATATTTTACGAAGGAAAAATATTAGTATTTATAAAAAAAATCCTAACACGTAAATAAAAATAAATCACTTTTCAGCAATGAATGAAATTTATATGAAGTTCGTTACATAATAAAAAGGTAAAAAATTTCATAATGTGAATAAGAAGGGGAAAAAGTTCTCCAAGAAGGAATCTCCTATCCTCCCACTAAAATTACGTACTTGTTATAATTAGGAACAACATTTTTTTTTAAAAGAAAATTATGAACATGCCTTTCTAGTCTAAGTAGGATTAACTTTGTAGGTTTAGCGTATGTGTAGTTTAAATTGAAAAAGAATTCCATCATTTGATATTTTATAATTAGACCCTTAAATTATACAAATACGTAAAGGGAAAATAAGTCGATCAATATTTTGAGAATATTTTAGTCATTCAACATTTAGCATAAATTATTCGTACTTTTATAATAATATAAATTAAAGTGCTTATAAGTTAGTTATTTATCAGTCACAAGCCATAAGTTGATTGTCCCAAATATAAGTCTCACCTATGTTTTTATAGTGCTAATATGAAAACAAAATTTACATATTGGTCCAAATAAATGAAATATATTGAATTTCATTTTGAGATAGAGATGTTCTTTTTCGGCTAGTAGACTATTGGGTTCAAAATATTTTCTCATCCCGATAATAACGAAAAAGTTCAATTTAACTACAAAATCGAGCTATTAATGCTTCCTATGGACCAATTCAATAAAGCTTAATGCTCTTTAATTTGGTGCCATTATCTTTTCTTATTTCTTTAATTTTGTTGATATTTCATTTTCTTATTTTAAGGAATATTTTAACTATTCGTAGATCTAATTATATGGTTTAGTTATTTCTAGTATATCATTCTATTACCATTAGTAACTATTATGTGAAATGGAAAAAAAAGTATTTTGTAGTTGTTTTTAAGCTTTAGCTATTTCTTAATCTAGAATTTTGTAGGATATTCCAAATAATCTAATATTGAATATTGTTTTATGGTCTGTGCCAAAATTTAGGTGCCATAATACAAGGTTGAAGTAGTTGGTCAGAAGTAATGGACAATTTGTGGGCTTTTTTTGCACTTGTCCATGGAATTTATTTTAGGTAAAAATAGCACGGGTTAGCCGGTTTTTGCCGGTAATTGAAAAACAGCGAGCGTTTGCAAAGTCAATAAAAAATAATCACTATTTTGCTGCAATACGGAAAGTTCTAGCATAATATACTGGAGATCGGTGCACTTGTGTATGAACTTCAGTATATTATGCTGGATCGATATATTATACTGGAATTCTAGTATAATATGCTGGAAGTCCAGTATAATATACTGGAGTTCCAGTATATTATGTTGGAGTATTTTTCGGATTTTGAATAGTATTTTCGTTCAAATTTATAAAAGTGACTAAATTTCATTTACTTTTGAAACTGTGGGTATTGACCAATTTGTCCCATTTATTTTATTTTATTAGGTTCAAAGATGGCACATGTTACATGAAACTAATATAGAAAAGAAAACTAGAAAAGCAATCTGAGGTTTGGCTCCTATTTAATGGTCACGTCAAATGTGAGCCGTTTTTGACAAGGAATCTGTGATTCTATCTCTTGCGATTATTATTCTGTGTATCGAATAAAAGATAAATACAACAACTTTACCAATAGAAAGAAAAATCGAAGCCAAACAGAAATATGCAGAGCTTCAAATCAGCAAGTATTTTGAGGCGCTTACTGCAGAATTCGCGCTTGGTTTCTCACTCCAGAAGCTTTTGCAGTGTCTCTACCAATGCCCTTGTTGATGAATCCCAAAGCACTGTGAGTTCTGAATTTTTTTTAAAAGAAAATTTGTCAATCCAATTTATGATTCATTATCAAAATTTCCATTTTGTTATAAAATATGAGTTTGCATTTTTCAGGTGTTAGTGGAGGGAAAAGCTTCTTCGAGAACAGCAATCCTTAACAGACCCCATGCGTTAAATGCTCTCAATTTTTCAGTTGTTAGTTTCCTGCCTTTTAAAGACCTTTACTTTTTGCTTCTGTTTTTGCCATTTTTGAAATCTACAGTGTGTACGCACAAGAAGATCATTTTTGAAATCTATTGCTCTCTTTTTGGATTTTTTTTATTGATACCCACCAAGTAAAATCGTGTTTTAATTAATATCCAACCATCAAAATCGTGTTTTTATGCTGAATTGATTTTGTTTTGGCTTTGGGAATGAACCCTACATGACACTGGGGAATCTTGATATTCCAGTTGGTTGGCAATCTTAATTTCCACCTTGTATAATAAATAAAAACTCTGCATGATACTGTTGTTTAGGTGGATAGGTTGCTAAAGCTGTACAAAAATTGGGAAGATGATCCTGATATTGGATTCGTGGTATTGAAGGTAATTTGTTAAGTAAATTATTGTTTGAATTATTTTATGGCTTTTCCTATTGTTGTTCTTCTGGATTATCTTAAGGTGAAGTTACATATGTTAATCTACTGAGTAGCAACTCAGTTATTCTTTAACTTTGAAGGGAAGTGGCAAGGCATTTTCTGCTGGGGGTGACATTGTCACTATTTATAATTTGTTAAAACAAGGTATGTTGTGTCATTTTGACTGTTGTACTTCACGGCGAACTTGTTCATATTCTGCTATGTTGCAAGTGATACATGGTTAAAGGAATTTTAAATATTTAAACATTGTCGATAATTGTATTATTGGGGTGTGAAGAAGTTGTTTAGATGTGAATTATCTTAATTAAGCTATTTGTGCTGATAGCTGGATGTTCTGTTGTTTTTATTGAGTAGGGTATTGATATCTATTTATTTTTGGGAACAATTAAAACGTTTCTACATCGTTTTAAAAACTGCAGCCGGCATCTTCATGCTACCAATTTACTATTACCTCAATTTTAATTTGATCTTCTCCATTCTTTGTGTAATATTTTTTGTATTGGATAGATGCAGGGAATCTTCAAGACTGTAAAGATTTTTGTTGGACAATAAATAACTTAGTATACGTTGTCGGCACACTCTTGAAGCCACATGTAAGTATCATTATTGTTCAAACATCAGATACTAAAAGAACTGTTGACTTGAATTTTCTTCTGTTTTCTGCCTCTTATATATGTATCAGGAACTTTTGTTGTATTTACTAAACCTTGATAGAGGCCAGCGTCTTATAAATTTTGTAGTTACATGTCTTTTATGTTGTGATCTAACTGTGCGTCTAGACTTCCGCATAATAAAATATGCTTCTGTAGTTGGAACCTAAGAATTTCTAAAAAATATATGTAAGTTCTATTAGATGTTGAATCAACATTTTCATCCTATATTCGCCATTGCTTATTGAAATTTCAACACCTTTGTACTTTATGCTGGCAGTTTTAAAGATACTCTTATAGAAATATCTGGATTTATTAGAAGATCGCTTGTTCTGTTAATTGGATTCTCTCTCATCTTACTGTGACTAAGCTGCTGCAAAGACAGCATCTCGACAGTTAATTACACCAATCACTTCTTTCTGAATTAAAATGGTATTCAGAGAGGTTAGATGTGTCTTGCCAAAGTTTGATTGGATCTTATTCATAAACTTGAAATGGTAGCAACACTACTTTATCATGCTGGCTGCTATACAATCTTCATAACGATGCCTGTTGAGGAAAACATAATCAGTCACATTAACATTATGATTCATAAGCTTAAAGAACTTCCTTAGGACAAATGCAAATTTGATCCAATTATTCATAGATATTCAACTCCATTTTCTTAGTTCATCCATAGTTCTCTTGCTGCTGTGTTCTTTGACTTCTGAAATGAAAGATTTGGGATAAGCTGTTGTTGATGCTCAACAAAGTGGTCACCTGTTTAGACCTATAGTTTGTCTGTTCCTTTTTGCCCATGAAATAATATCTCCTCAATTTTGGAAGTTGTTTATTTTGTTAAAATCATGTGATCATTTTTGCTTTGACAAGATGCAGCCATAATGGTCTTTTCATTCTTTTATTAATCATAATATACGTCTTTTTTTAGTTCAGAAACCCGGTGTGCATTTATCAGTAGTTATCATCCATATTTCTTTGTATCTTTTTATCGATTAGAGCTTTTTGCGCACTTTCGGATTTGAGTTACTTCTCGCTCTCACCTCCTCAATTCCATGTTGAAGGAATTCAGTCATTGCATATTCAGTACTTGTCATACTTTTGTTGACATTAGCTGGTCCCTGGATGCGGTTCCCAAGTATAGATATTAATCCTCAGATGCCATATGCAGGTTGCTCTTTTGAATGGAATTACCATGGGTGGTGGGGCTGGCATCTCAATTCCTGGAACTTTCCGTGTTGCAACTGAGAAAACTGTATGGAAAAGATTAGTCATGCTTTATTTGTTTAAGCTTTTCATTTGTTGGTTCAGAATAAATTCTCCTACTTCAAGAACTGCTAGACTACATTGCTAAGTAATGTGAAGTTCCATTTGTGCTCATTCTTATATACAGCTTAGTGACTTCACATATCATGAATTTTCTGTTCTTTAAATCTTAATTATTTCTCTTCAGAGAGAAGTTCAAATCCTAGTGCTACAAACTTATTCAGCAAATTTTTCCTCTGCCCCTTCTCTTGCTTTTCCTTTATTGATAGTTTTGGCCTTATCAGTTATTATTATCTATTTATGAGTTCGTACCGAGTTAATTTGATAAAATTCATCTTTTAATCTTCTTAAATTGAATGCTCTATATTGATGAAGTTTCTTTGTACCAATAAGTTAAATAGTAATTTCAATTGTATATTATCAATTCTTTTGACTTTTCGTGATGAAGCTTGTTTATTTCGGTTATATATGACTTATAACCACAGGCTTAGCGTTTAAAGTGCTGAAAAATTTAAGATATCTTGGTCTTACTGAAATGCTATAACCTGATTTTAAATTACTCAAGAACTAAAGGAATGTGCAGGAAATAAAAAATTTATCGAACTTAATTGTCAAAGAGGTCTATCAAATTTGGCCGGTGCACGAGGTGATGGTTTAGGTGTTTTAAGTGCTGTTAGATCGATTTTTCACCGTTCTTACAAGGGTATTGGGTCTTGTATCAATGTAGGTTTTTGCCACACCAGAAACATTGATTGGTTACCATCCCGATGCTGGGGCGTCATTTTACCTTTCACACCTCCCTGGTTATTTGGGTATATTCTTTTGCTGATCTCATGCTGTGGTTTGGATCCATCAGTAACTTCTATCATGTCATGTAGCTGATCGTCTTTGATGATGAATTATCTAGTTGGAAACTACTTTTCTGATCCCCGCGCCCCCTCTCTCTCTCTCTCTCTCTACACACACACACACACACCCCCTTCCCCGATCTCCTCTTCTCTGGGGAGATGCGCATCTTCTATGGGGAAAAAATAAGCATGTCATATCTGGACGTTTCCCTTCTTATATGCTTGTTATCAAAATATTTGTACTAACGTGATGTTCTTTTTACTTCATCTTATTTTTCCCTAACTCATTGGGAAGTAAGCATGTGTTCCTCCTCCTGTTTCATGTATTTTGGAGATTATGACTTTGAATTCTACCTATGTTCGGAATTTGTCTGGACTGCCTTTTTTTTTAAAAATTTAACTTCATACGGTGATGTTAATATGTGGTTCTATCTATTTAATATTTAGCTTTAAATGGTGGCGGACTAAAATTAGTGGGTTACAAGCCTTTTTTTTGTAGATAACTGATAACTCATGCTAGATCATGTAGCACTGCATTTACATGGCTGACTCTTTGATGACTTCATATTCTATGGCATATAAATGTTAAGCAACCTGATGCACGCATGTCAGCTCATGTAAACCCTATCTATCTTATGCTATACTAGTTTGTGGTTCAAGTGGAATATGTTTTTAGTATGCTGCCTCTCTCTGTGTCTCTCATCTGTTTGGACATTTGCTACTGCGTAAATGAAAGAAAAAATCAGCATGGAAGAAAGCTATTTAAATGTTTTCAATTTGCAGGAGAGTACCTGGCCCTAACTGGAGACAAGATCAATGGAGCAGAAATGATATCCTGTGGGCTTGCTACTCACTACTTACACAGTGCAGTAAGTCTACTACCTTTGCTTAATTTGCTTTGCACCTAGGTACCAATAGCCTACTTAGGTTATTTGACTATTGCTCTGAAAACTTCTTCTCTGCCTTCTCCACTCCTCTCAGAAGCTTCCCTTAATTGAGGAACAACTTGGTAAATTGATGACTGATGATCCTTCAGTGATTGAAAGATCTCTTGAAAATTGTGGAGAGATTGTCCATCCAGATCCAACAAGTGTACTTCACAGGTACCTGTCATCCTTGCTAAATATGGAAATTGGAATGTCCATAAATATATTAGTTCCTGCTACAGTTTGAAAGGGGGTGGACTGATACATATTACCGTTTAATGTTAAGGGCTGCTTTTGGATTTGAAACACCTTTTCTAGTTGTTAACCAAACATATATACCACACCAGTCAGCGGATTCCCTACCTACATCTTCGGGGAATCCCGTTCACGTTTCTTATAGAACATCGAAAGAATCCCTTGGCTAATTGAAATCATAAGTGGACACGCTGCAGCCTTGCTTCAATATTTTACCTGCTGTTGGAAAGCAAGTTACAGGTTTAATTGGATGAGACACTTGCCCTCATTTCATAACATTTTTCATACTACTCAAAAAGAAAGAATTGCAAATCAATCTCTTACTTTCTTCTTCGAGGAATCAAATTGGTAATTTTTGGTAAATTGTTTAATTCAGTAAACACAAAATCCTGCAATTAGCTCTTCATATTTAGCTTCACTTAGATTTGTAAGTGGCGAAATTGTTTTTTCCATTATAGAGAAACTGGTAGTGGCACCATCTTTTCCATGAGTTATATAAAATACATCAACTAGTGGAACAAACTTCAGCTCTCTAAAACTTCACACTACATTCTTAAAACTTTGTGGTTCATGATAATTTTTGTCATAGTTTCACATGGATCTTTTGGTTTTTGTATTTAGTCTTGTTCTTTAACCTTTTGTTTTTATAAAAATAAATTCTTATCAAGTTTGTGTGATCTTGCTTGCAGATCAATGAGTATTTGATAGCTTAATCTAATCCATCTTTTCTCTTTCTTTAGGATTGAAACTCTCAATAAATGTTTCAGCCATGACACAGTCGAAGAAATTATTGATGCTTTGGTGAGCATATAGTTCCTGAGTGTGTAACTTGTTTCCCAAATATACTGAAAAGGTCTCTGAAAGATACAAAATTCTGATGTTAATTGATTTTAATTTGCTTAATATCTCTAGTGAGAAAAGAAAGAACAGGGATTAAACATGTGGTATTCAGAAGGTGGAAGCCTCGCCAACATACCATCTTCGACTCCAGTAACAAGATACGATCATATTAGTGGAGGACGAAGTAAGTCTTTATAGGATAGCACATCTTAATTCACTAGCCTGGGGTGTGAAGGCTATTACCTGGTAAGAAACTCGATCGGATGGGCATACAATCAAAGTGTGGCCAGTAGAAACATTATTCTTTTCTATAACGGTGGTGTGGGCCAATTTGCTCGCACCTCGACTATTCCAACAGGTACTTGCTATCTACCAAATTTTAGGCAGATAGGAAGAAATCACCTAGCCTTTCTGTCTCTGACTCTCTCCGACTCTTTGCTAGATTTGAAACCTAGTCTCCCGTGTTTTTCACCGACTTCATTGACTATTTGGCTACAGTCTACCCCCTTAGGTGCCAGTGGAAACATATTTTAGTTGATCAATGCAATAATGTTCAGCATCGGATTGCTTTGCTTTTAATACCTCGGCCATCACAAGTTGCCACTATTTGAAAAATCTGAAACAATGCAATGATCATTGCTCAGCATACTCTTTGTTTGCTCCTTGAGGTTCAAAAAGTACCTATAGGTCCTGGGGCTGTTGTCACACTAACTTATATCTATCATTCTTTGGGCAAAGCATATTGTGGAGATTCTAACATCACGTATAAATTGCACGGAGAAGCCTTTAAGTGCTGCACTTTGTTGCACCATAGTACAAGCTGAGTCATTGCGTTTGCATCTACGACCTCTGGGTGCTCTTTCGAGCGAGATGGATTTTCTCTTGTTTTTAAAATACTGACAGTAAAGTATTTAAGTAAACATATAAAGTCTGCTACATGTGTGGAAGTTTTTAAGGACAGGTGTGATTACATTTTTAAAAAGAAATTTAAATGTTGCCAGGAAAGTGAGGCAGCCAAGAAGCAAGATGCATGGTGTGTTTCAACATTGCGAAAACTACAAGAAACAGCCCCACTGAGCTTGAAGGTTTCACTGAGATCTGTAAGTTTCTCTAGATAGAATGTTCTCCTTTTCCCTTCTGCCACCAGGGCATTGTGAGATGACCTTCCAATAATGCTTCTGATCAGATACGCGAAGGCAGACATCAGACTCTGGACCAGTGTCTAATTCGTGAGTATCGAATGTCAGTACAAGCTTTCTCTGGACAAATAACTAATGACTTCTGTGAGGTAATATATGCTGCTAAAAAAAGTCTCAGTACTAAATTCCACAGATCATCATCACAGTGTACTAATATCTTCCTATCAGGGGGTTCGTGCACGGCTTGTGGATAGAGATTTTGCACCTAAGGTAAATCAATATTATTGCGAACTAATATGCTATTTTTATGAATTATGAGCCCCTTCCTGGAGGAATTTTCCTAAGAGTCAACTTTAACCTTAGAGAGAGTTTCTTGATTTATGTTAAAACGTGCAGTGGGATCCTCCAAGCTTGGATAAAGTAACAGATGACATGGTAGATCAGTATTTTTCTCGGCTAACAGCATTTGAGCCTGAACTGGAGCTACCTACACAGCAACGTGAAGCATTTACATAATTTTTGGGTGGGGCAACTTCTCAACTCTGAAGCTACCAGAAGAATAGGAAAAGGGGAAAGAAAATCTGTGAATATCATTTATTTTTCTTTACAGAATAAACATTGAGCAGTTAAGTCTTGATATGGTCGCATTTGCAAATCTCTTTTCCATACATATCTGCTAAAGCAAGAAAGAGTAATATGGTGCACAAGAATGACACTTTGGGAAGTCAAATTGATGACAAACATATCTTTTTAGTAACAAAAAGAACAGAACTTTTAGCTGGTAGGCCGTGGGTATAAGCCCTCCCTATTCCAACTTTAGTAGAGGAATGATTGCTTATTTTTGTCTCGCTTTTTACTCTTTTTTCTTTCTTAGAATATTCTTCAAGAATTTAACTTATATATACTATATAATTGATTTTTACACTATCAGAGCACTTTAACTCATTTACGATATTACCAAATTAGGTTTGTTCTAAAAAGTTGCATTACTTTTCACTAGGTCATTTAACCTAGTGGTATTACATAAAAACATACAAGAAAACACATGTAAAGTTCCGTGGTACTAAAATAACCTTCTTGATGTTTATAACGCACCAAGAAAAAGAAGCAAAACTGGAAATTATGCCCACTTTCTTAACCTACATCAATGCAAACTTCAGTAGTAACTTCTATAAAGATACGGGTGGCGCTGAAATCAAACTCTGAATTGATACAGCCACAGACGCCCTCCGAGTGTCCTAGAATTTAATTGAAAGACCCATAGTTGGGATACCTAACCTTCAACTAGAATTTAGTTTGCCTTCGATCAGTGTTTTGACAGATGCAAAATCATTTTCTTTCGAGGCTTCAATACAGTCTAAGCAGACTGCTTCACCAATGGAACTACTAAAACTGGAGAGCTTGAGTGGGCACGCGCGCGCACACACAGAGAGAGAGAGGAGTCAGTAAAATCAATGCACTGTAATTCTTTTCAAGGGGGATACACAACTTATACGTATATAAAAAATAATTATTTGTCTTATTCAGCTTATCAAAATTGATAGACCAGTTCTGGTCCGAATGATTTCACAACATGCCCACCCAAGGGGACAAAAATTTATAAAAATTATTAGAGACGATGTAAGTGTAGAAGCTTCTTCAAAGGCAAACCATATAATCAACTCTCTTTGCTGGCCTTGTATGTGTTAACCAGTTGTGTTTGCACATCACTTGAAACAGGTGCATGCTCTTTATATTCCATTGTAAATTCACCTTTTCCCTGCATGAAACAAAAAATGATCGGGTATATCAATGGCTTTCACTAAGCAAAGAGAGCATGGATTAGTACCACAAATTTCCACACTATGCATTGTACGGATATTTTGGATTGGAAGGAAAAGAAAAATAATGAGACTAGGCAAAAAAGAGAAGAAAACAAAGTCAAAGTTAGAGGAGAGGAGTAAACTTAGTTTTTTTATTGAATATAAAGAATGTTGGTCGCTGACTCACATCACATTAGCACCTTAATGACATATTTTTCACATTAGTAATCTTTTTGGCATTACAAAAGCTTCATCAGAACGTGTTTACTTATTTTAGGTTTTCACCCACTTTAGGATGAAAACAAAATTAACACTCTCTCCTGCCTTCATTTCACTCCCTACGATCAATACAAAAGCTAAAAAATTTGAAATCACCTCTGTCCTTTCTCTCCCTTTATTTGATAAAAGTGTGTGTTGAGGAAATGGAAACAAAATTACTAACCTGTGTCATTGATCGTAGAGACGTTGAGTAACCAAACATGTTGTTGAGCGGGACCTGAGAAACAAAGAGTATTGCCTCAGCAAACAGAAGACAAATGATTTACTCATGTCATAATACTTTCAGAATAAATGCATACTGTTCCAAGGCTGAAAAGAATGAATTTTGAGAAGAACCCTTAGAAGCCATGTAAATTAGCAATTATTATATCTCAGTTTCAAAGCAGCAAACATGTGCAAGTAACATGCTCTTGAAGTTTCATGAATCTACAAGACAACAAGTTCTCATAACTTTGCATCTTCCTTGCCAGTAAACTGATCTGTTTCAGACACTGTTTGCTTAAGGTATTAATTATTAGATAGATACACTAACAAATAAGCATGATGCATCTTTCTCACACAACTTTCACACAAATACTAGAATGCTACAATAAATATCATCCGGTGCAGAGTATTCTTTTTCACCAAGGGTAAGCCAGAGATTCAGCCGATCACCAACTTGTTCTGGTGTTGCCCTTGGTCAAAAGACAACAATAAGCAAAAAATATTGCCTTAGGTATTGACTTAGTACAAGCCGGGATGTGTCGTAGACACACGTAACTAGTTTAAAACCTGGTTGTTGCACCAAGTATGGTATTCAAGTGGAAAGGCTGGAGAGATGCCCATTATCCACCGAATTCCAAAGCTAAACTAAATGATTTCTCGACCACAAAATTATAAAAAGGTATTTCACATTTTTCAAGGAAGCTGAGCATAACAATGTAACATGTGGGCCCATTTGGACAAATACTTGGTTGAAGTTGAAAAACAAGTACTTGAAGTTGAAGTTGAAAAAAGGTATTTGGAAGTTGAAATAGTGCTTGGACATGAATTGCACTTGAAAACAGTTTGCATCTTACGAGTGAAAACCATTGTTTCACTTTAAATACTCCTCAAACCAGATTCTCTATTTCAAGTAGAAGTTGAATAATGAACAAAATTTTAAAACAAACATTGAATTGCAAATAATAAATTATTTACGTCCAAAAGCCTATGTAAGACCCAAAAGCACTGATGAACAGGGAATTGGGAGTTTATAATTCCTCGTGAGGTTTAGTATTTCTTCTTACAGAAAGGAGAAACCCATCAAACATAAATAGCATAAGCAAGATGATGGTTCTGCAACTTATATGCACAACCCATAAATTGTTGCGATATCCAAACTTTTTGTAACAACTGTGGAGATTCAAAAATTGCAAGAGTATTTGTAGAGGTAAGCAAAGAGCAAACTGGCATAAGAAAAAACAGAGGCATGGTCAACTGAAGTTTCTCAATTGTAGTAGCACTAAACTGGCAGAAAGGTAGAGAATATAACAGTAAAGAGCAGCTCGAATGAAATCTGAACAGTAGGTAAAAAAGAAAGATGTCAACCCCAATAATAAAAGTTAACATACAATGATTAAGTTTCACACACATGCCACTATGATATGCATTACGGCCATTTTTCAGCCACTTTTTTACCTAAAAAAGGCATGAACGATTGATTGCTGGACCTGTGTTCGGAAGTGGATTTTTACAATCACATAAAGCCATCCAAACAGAACAAAGAAAGAGGGGACGGAGAACATGATTATAAGCAGCAATATATACTGACAGCAAGAGGCACCAGAAATCAATTCAAAATACAGCTGAAGAAAATACAGCTTAAAGAGCAAAGAAAGATAAACATACATGGGCAGTAATTACAGAGTCATCTCCTTCCTGGTCATTGCCGATTATGACACCTTTCCTCCTTTGATATTAAGAAAACAAGAAAAATGAAGAGCTTGGTTAGAAAAGCATAAATCAGTTTCTCAAATCTTAATAACATACTCCCAGAAAGAAGTTCACTAACTTATTTATATCCCCAGTAACAGTGCCCTGAAATTCTGTTGGCACTTTCATTTCCACCAGCATCACAGGTTCCAATATGATAGGCTTTGCTGCAGCATAACACTGTTTTGCAATCAAATTAGCGATACACAATGAGGAAACGGTAAAATTACTGCAAGCATACACAACTTCGGTAAGGCTCACCAAGCTGAGAAAAGAGAGAAAGGGCAGGAAGTTGGAGGTACAAGCAAGCATAAGAGTAATTGTCTACCGATCAGCTGGATGAATGTGTTACCTGTCTAAAAGCATAAATGGAAGCTAATTTGAACGCAAGTTCACTTGAATCAACAGCATGTGAGTTACCATCCGTCAAAACAACACGGATATTTTCAACTGGATGACCAATCAGAGAACCCCTGGAACACAGAAAGATCCAGATTTGAAATCGATCAAAAACATGTAAAGGGAACTAGGCAAGCATGTCATGAGAAGATCTCCACTGAATCTTGAATTGACTAAGCTTTGATAGTTCCTAAGCAATTACATAATACAGTACCGCCTAGATCCTTAACTTGAAGAAAAGCAATTACATAATACAGTACCGGCTAGATTCTTAACTTGAAGGAAAGCAGCAGACATATCCAAGAATCTCCAGGCAAGTCATAGTTGAAATTAGAAAAGCATACTTACGAATTGGCAGCCTCCCTGAAACCCTTTTCAATTGCAGGGACGAAGTTTGATGGTATAGCTTGACCAACAAGCATGTTGTCAAATTCAAACTTACTGCTCGACCCTTGTTCGAGAGGTTCAACATACCTGTAGAAACAAAGCATTGAGGAAACATGAATATCAAAAATGCCACAAAATGAACAACAAAAATATAATCAGCTAACTCCCCCTCCCTAACCAACTCTCTCAGGTTCAACAAACATACTCTTGGTTGTGCCAGATTTAAGTTTTTTTAGGCCAGATTTAATGGAGAGGGAATGTAGAACTACTCCACGTGGTTAAACCTTATCTATTATACAAGCCCAAGACAATAGTCTTTCTTTTTTTGAATTGATAACTTTTGTATATATTAATAACATCAGTACATAGGTTGTACTGAAAACCAAATTTACAAGTAGATGTTAAGTAGATGCTGGTGTGCAACCTAGCAAGATCCTAGTATGTCTACGATTGTCAATGTATCTTATGTGTAAATCTGTTTACACCAAAAACAAAAAAGAAGAATACAATTGAGTTTGATCTTCTGTACTGGGTTGTTTCTATCTTCGAAACATCTATCATTCCTTTCCCTCCAAACTGTCCACCAGATACAAGCCGGGACAGCCCTCCATCTATCTCTGTTAGTTGCTTCAGCACCAGCTTCTTCCCAACTATAAAGAACTTCATTAATGAAATACCCCTAAGACTAATAAAGATTTTCCATAGTTGGTCTGTTATCTTGCAATGTAGAAATAAATGGCTAACAGTCTCAGCGTTTTCCCCACATAGGAAACATCTTGAACACAGAGAAATTCCTCTTTTTATAAGATTATCCTGGGTTAATACAGCCTCCTTTGCTAATAGCCAAGAGAAACATGCTACCTTATATGGAATCTTTGTTCTCCATATATGCTTCCATGGCCAAGCATCTATCTGAAGATCATTTTGATTCAAAATCTTATATGCATCCTTCACCTGATAGACCCCTCTGTTGTGCATTTACCACCAAAGTGAATCCACCCCTTCCTGTAATTCTTTAAATGCTTCCAGCTCTTTGTAGAGGTCAGCTAATCTTGTTATCTCCCAGTCATTCAGCTGTCTTCTAAGAGTGAGTTCTCATCCTTGATAATTCCACATATCAGCTACTGTCCTATGTTGGTTTTGTGCCAAACCAAACATATCAGGGTATCTTTCCTTTAGGCTTCCATGTCCCAACCAATTATCATTCCAGAATGATGTGTTCATTCCGTTGTTCACTCTTATGGAAGAGTGAATCTTCATTATAGGCCAAAGTTCTCTGATGGATTTCCCCACACTAACTCCATATGATGTGCTGACTTTGTTTGACACCCAGTTATTTTCCTCACCGTACTTAGCTTTGATCACTTTGCTCCATAAAGTTTGAGGTTCTTGAGAATATTTCCATAGCCATTTCATTCTAAGAGCCTTGCTTTGATTCTTCAAATTTCTTATTCCTAAACCACCCTGTTTTTTGGCCATTGTGAGGGTCTTCCATTTAACTAAATGGAAGACCTTTTTCTCCTTATTCCCTTGCCAAAGGAAGAATCTTCGAAGTTTGTCTAGTCTCTGTATGATTCCAGCAGGAATTGGGAAAAAGACATCATGTAAGTAGGAAGTGAGTCTAATACTGAGTTGATTAAAACTAGCCTGCCCCCCATTGCTAGGTATTGCGATTTCCATCTTGACAGTTTCTCACACTTTTCAATGACTAAATTCCAGATCTCTTTGGATTTGGATCTTGCTCCAAGAGGCATCCCAAGGTATACAATTGGTAGGGACCCTACTTCTCCCATTGTCTGTGCCAGTTGCTCCATGTTATTAACTTCATTAATGGGATAAATATGGCTCTTTCTCCAGTTGATGTGTAGTCCCGAAATTCCCTCAAATAAGACCAAGATGATCATTAGAAACCTAAGTTGCTCCTCTTCAGCGTCACAGAAGACTAGTGTATCACCGGCATATTGAAGATGTGTGATCTCTAGAATGCTTGCCCCATTCCTGTGAACCTCGAAACATTTAACCCATCCATTGACTTTGGCCGTTTTAATCATGTTGTTGTCCTTCCATGGCTATAATGAATAGAAAGGGGGATAAAGGATCACCTTGTCTTAGACCTCTATGTGCATGGAAGAAACCTTCAGGAGATCCATTTATGAGAATGGAGAATGTAACAGTAGATATGCAAAATTTCATCCAAACGATCCATTTTTGCCCAAAACCCATTTGTTCTAACAATTTCAGTAGAAAGCTCCAGTTGACATGATCATAAGCCTTCTCAATATCTAGTTTGCATAGGATTCTGAGTTCTTTCTTTTTGATTCTTGAATCCACAACTTCATTAGCAATCAATGTGAGCACGTGATTTTGACAATCAACACTACATCTATTACTTGTCTTCCTTTGATGAAAGCCATTTGTTGAGCATCTACTAGCTTTCCTACCACCCTCTTAAGTCTTTCAGTCAAAACTTTTGAGAGCAGTTTGTAGAAACTCCCTATCAGACTGATTGGCATGAAATCGCTCAATTCTTTCGCACCTATCTTCTTTGGAATCAAAGCTATATATGTTGCATTGAAGCTTTCTCAAACATCTCCTAGGAATGGAAGTTGTTGAAGGCCTCCATGATGTCATGCTTCAAAATATCCCAGCACTTAATGAAAAAACTCATTGTGTATCCATTTGGACCTGGGGCCTTGTCAGTTGCACACATCTTCAAACAGCTCAGGACTTTTTGTTCCTCAAATTTACTCTGTAAAGACTTTCTCTAATTCAGAGATTTTTGGACTGTTTTCGAAATTGACTGTCGGTCTCCACTCTACAGGTTCTGAGTATAACCCCTTGTAGAATTCAATGATCACATTCTTTATTCTGTATGGCTCTTCTACTGCTTCATCTTGAATCATTAGTTGATCAATATTGCTGTTTCTCTTGTGTGCATTGGCAGTACGATGGAAAAACTTTGTATTCCTATCCCCTTCTTTGAGCCACAAAGCTCTTGATTTTTGTCTCCATGCACTTTCTTCGTTCTTGAGGTGATCCTCAAACTCCATGAGGGTAGCTGCCTTCCTCACTGATTCCTCCTCTGTCAGAGCTCTTAATTGTTGTGTTGCCTCAAAACCTGCCTATTGACTCAGCAATTTTGATTTTTGCAATCCCAGATTTCCTTTACAACTTTTGCTCCATTCTTTTAGCTTGCCTTTGAGAGCTTTTAATTTGCAAGCTAAAATATAGTCTGGTCTTCCTGAAAATTCAAAAGATGTCCACCAGTTTCTAATTCTGTCATTAAAACCTTCCACGTTCAACCACCAATTTTCAAACTTAAAGTATGATTTAGCTTGTTCCCAGGCACCACAGCATAGAGTCACTGGTGAATGATCAGAAATCAGCCTTTGTTGGAGAGTTTGCTTGATATTTCTGAAGCTTTCATCCCATTCTTCTGAAATGAGAAATCTATCAATTCCGGAAGCGGTTGTATGATTATCCCCTTTAAACCAAGTATAGTAGCCTCCTTCGAGTTGAAGATGTATCAACTCCATGTCCTCTATAAAATCCGAGAATTCCACCATCTCTCTGGACCTCCTCGAGCATTCCCGTTTTTCAGAATGGTACCTTGTGACGTTGAAATCACCACAAACTACCCAAGGGCCTTCCATCAATCCCCTCACTACACCAATTTCTCTCCATACTGTTCTTCTTTCTATTCTGCAATTTGGAGCATACACTCCTGTTATATGACATTGAAAATTCTGTAAAAGAGTCTCGAACTTGCATGTCAAAGTGTATGCACCAGTCTGTAACACCTCCCCTTTCCATACTCTGCAATCCCATAGTAACAAAATCCCCCCTCTCGTAACGCTAGCTTCTAAACATGCGTACCTCACCCATCTCCCACCCCAAATTTGATTAACTATTTCCTTGATATCCCCCTCCACTTTTGTCTCCTGCATACAGATATTATCTGCCTTCCAATTCAGCACTTGACTTTTTATGATCTCCCTTTTCTTCTTGTCATTTAATCCCCTTACATTCCATGAAATTAAATTGATCTTCATATTGCAATAATAGATAGATCTCTTCCCCTACTCCTTTTCCCATCACTCCTGAATTTGACATCAAAGGAGGCTAATCCTTTTAATTCCAGTGAGCCTTTGAACCTTTGTTTCTTCACCTCCATCTCTGTCTACACTCTTCTAACTTGTCTGCAACTGTCAATTTGCATTAGTAACTCCAATGCTTCTTCTTCATGGCCTTGAAAATCTACTCCAAACATTTTCCCCAGTTTGATCATATTTTGATGGACCCACAGTGTTGCATCCATCTCTTTATCCATTACTGGATTGTGTTGTTGTACTGATATAGGAGTAACCTCCTCGATTTCCCAATCTTGGATAGAGTTGAAGTGCTTTAACTGTTGTTGGTGCTCTAATGCATTTTCAACTTGATCTTCCCCCATCTTTTTGTTTATGGTATGCTCCCCTGCCTTCTGTCCTAGTATTCCTATCTCTGCTTCACCTTCTGGCTGATCGCAACTCATATGTGTTGCCTGTGGCATAATTTCAAGGTTTGCAATGGGAATTAGACCCCCTAGATTGGATCCTTCGACTTTCAAGTAAGAGGTGCACCCCAGTTCCTCAATATAAAGCGTCAGCCTAATTTCATCAGTGGCCTCACACGAGAGATCATTAAAAATGACTTGTGCAGCCAAATCAGACTCATTTGATTTCAGCTCATTATTCATCACATTAATGCACAGATTTGTCGAACTTGGACCTTGCATATGTTGCACCCGTGCCTTTCCCTTATTATTATTTTGCAATATGGTGCATCCCACTTGGTCGCCCATGTTTCTCTCCGCTCCAAAGCTATGTGTGTTTTCCGACGACTTCAGCTCAAATCTTGCCTGTTTTTCAGCCCAGATTGGGATGAAAAATTTGATCCCTTCTCTTTCAATCCCAATCTCATTAGGAATCTTTCTGTTGTCACCAACAATTTGAATTCTAGCCCACTTAAGGTGATTTTTTAGATCAGTTTCTTCTTCAGTAGCTATCCATTCCCCACAGAGATCTCCTATTTCTTTGAAGATCTTTTGTGACCACAGATGTAAGGGAATCTCCATGGC